GACAGATGAAAATTGTTCTAGATTTATGCTGGCTCTTGTCTGATCGTAGTTGTGCTTTCCTGATAAAGCCTCCTCTCTAATGCCAGCAAAGCTTCAGAGGACATGTAGACGTATCATCATCGTATCATTCCTTCGTCAAGAAGGAACTAATTTCAAGAGGCCCACATGTAAGTGTAATATTTCTTCATGACATGTAGATCCTTTCCATAGTACAAGTGAGGAGCCTAGGCTGAATCCCAAGAATTGGTTCCTATTCAAGTATATAGGTTACTTAACCATGGGAGTGCAATCTTTCACCCTTAAACTGAGCCAAATTCTCTTGTAAATTTGGCAGTGTGTGCTGCTCCAGACTAACTATTGTCAGATAGCATTGGCTCTGATGAGCTGGAATAACACCCTTCTTCCATAGCCCCACCACTCTGGCCATGCTGGCTCCTCTGGTGTCAGCTCAAGCTACTGCAGCGGCTGGAAGGTGCTCTCTAGCCTGACACCAGCACCCCGCAGCAACACAGGAACTGGACCTCTGGGCAAGGCTCATGGTGATACTGACTGTGCCATTCCACTTCACGCCCTGTGCCCCCATCGTGTGGGCATAGTTAATGCTGCAAAGACAGAAAAACAGGGATGGTGGGAAGAGCTGTAACAGGGAAGGAGGAGGCAGTCTTGTGACTTGTAAATCATAGAATCATGGAATGGTTTGGGTTGGAAGGGACCTTAAAGCTCATCCAGTTCCAACCCCCTGCCATGGGCAGGGACACCTTCCACTAGAGCATGTTGCTCAAAGCCCCATCCAACCTTGCCTAAATTAGATGGTAACTGCACTGGAGAGGAGCTGCTGTGGGGTATGACTGCCTGCCCTGGAGGGGGGTGCCAGCCACCCTCTTTACCTCTGGCCTGGGCTGGGGACCCCTGGCCCCCCATACAGCAGAGCATAATACAGGAGCTGCCTGGGTCCCTGCGAGCTAAAATCTGCTGCCAGCATCTTGTGTGGCCAAGGCCTGCTACAGCTGAGCTCCCAGTGCCTCCAGTGTGCTGCATCCCTTTCCCTGGGGAAAGGAGACATGTAGTTCACTGCAGGCAAATGCCAGGAAAATGAGGAGAGGATGTTCAGCTCTTGGAGATAAAAGCCTCATGCTGAAAGGTGTGACAAAACCCCTGTTTGCCTATGCCATGGAGCAGGGCGAGTCCTGTCTATTGGCAGTGTCAAACGTGCTCATGTCCATTTGCAAGCAAGCTGAGAGTGTCTCAAAAACCTGGCACATTTTACACACAGCATTTTGGGATAAGCAAGAATGTTTTGTGAGTAAAGGCACATATCAGAAAAAGTTTCCTAATGGAAGTAAGCCACAGGGGAGAGACAGTGACAAGACTGGGTATGTCTGGTGGTACAATGAAGCTGCTATTAAGAGCAAGCACTCAGGGAAGATCTGGTCTCATCCCCTCCCAACATCCTACCCGCTTCCTGGTGCTGGTCTGCCTGTGCCCCAGGAAGGCTGGGTACTGGGGCACCTGGCTGCAGTGCTCCCCTTTCTCAGTGTGGGATGAGATGGTTTCCTCTGGTTTTACTCCCTGAGGTGGCAGGCAAGGAGCAGTGTGGGCAAAAGGCAGCAGGCAAGCCCACCACAGACCGTCGCCCTTGTCATTGCACCAGCACTGGTTTCACGAGGGGCTGAGTGCTTGTCTTTGAGCCCTGAGCCATGAGTGCTGATTCACTGTGCTGCTGACTCAGGCTGTGCCTATTTAAAGGCTGCGGTCCCTCGGTGCCTCTCCCTCCCCTCAGCTTCAGGTCCAACAGTGGCACAGGCAGGGGGTTTGCTTCGGTCCCTGCAGCTCACAGTGAGACACCACCCTTGGGTGCAGAGCATGTTAATATCCAGGGCAGTGAACAGTGGCAGCCAAGGGCTGGTAGCTCGTCCGGGGTGACAGTGTCTCCAAAGGGCAGCTCCTCTGTCCCTCTCACCCCCACCTTCCTGCGTGTTGCCTACAGCTCATGTGCTACTCCCAGGAGAGAAAAGCACTCTGTTCGCAGCAGGGCAGGCTGGCTGGCTGCACGGGACACACCACGAGCTCAGGGAATGCTGTGAGGGCGGCAGTGCAGGAGATGGAGAGGGGAGGCCCACCCTTCCCAAGGGCAGTGCAGATCTGGGCAGCTATCTGGCATTCCTTCCCCTCAGCCCAGTTGTCACGGCTGCCCAGCAGCGATAGCCAGTGTTTTCTCACTCAGCCTCGGCTGCTCTCCTCTCCATCATGAGTCGCACTGACAGGGCACCTCTCCATCTCCAGTCTCACAGCGCCAGCCAGACGATAAGCCTGATCAAATTGTGTATCTGCAGGGAAACAGGTCAGCAGGCAGCTTCTTGGCTAGCACAGAACCAAAAACAGCAGAGCCTCAGCCGCTCACACCGTGCCAAAGCCAGCCTTACCCTCCAAAAAGAGGGATGAGAGCTTCTCCACAAAGCACAGCTGCAGTTTTCTCTCTCCTCTCACGGGCTGCCCAGGTTGTGCAGAAGCTCCAGCCCCCTTTACACTCATGAAGATTAAAATGCTAAGGAAATGGGGACAGGTACTGGGCCGCCCTGCCTAAGGGTGTTGCACAGCCACCGGCAGTAGCCCTGCGCTGGCCCCAGCCTCCAGGGCTCAGCTTCCCACAGTTGCATGGGTGTCACGTAGACAGGGTGTCCCCAGCTGCTCTCATCCCCTCTGCCCTTGCTCATATGCAGGTGATTTCCTCCAATTTCCATCAGAAGGAGACAGAAGCTACAGGGAAAGGAGTGAGAAGTGGTCTTGCAGTCTTGGGGAGATTTCATACTGCTTTTCTCTCTCTACCCTAGTAGCCTGCTTCTTTCCGAGGCAAAGGAGCAGGTCTTCTTTGGCTCACACGTCCTGTAGAGTTTCTCTTTTGTTGTTTAGAAGTGAGAGTGTGTTAGGGATTGTAACCTCTCTGTTCTGGTGTGTCTGTGGGGTGTGCATTAAGCATTTACTGTGCGGCACTTGGATTGCAGAAGGCAGAGATGTGGACTCTTTCTAAGGCTGTGTATATGAGATACCTGCTGGGCTGTGTTCTCCTGTTGGAGCCTGCTAGTCAGGAAAATGTTTCCTCCACTGAACATTTTTCCTTTGTTTCTATTTCCTTTGGGGGTTGGGGGTGTTCTTTTTTCTTTTTCCCTGGCTCCCACACCGTGAGCCTTGTCTGAGATTCGGTGATCTGTTATCTCAAGCTACTTTCAGCAGAGACCAAATCACTTTCAAACCTCCAGAGTTCATGAGGGCAAGACTTCATTTTCTTTGTGCAATGCACTTTGCACCTTACCTCTGCTTCCTGTTTATTCCTGAGGTGTCCCCCCTCTCTGAAAAACCCTCCTTTACACAGGGGGTATGTGCTTGGTCAGCCCTGCAAGAGCTCCCTCTATGATAGTTCAGTCTTTACTCCCTGTATATTGTTCTTGAAGACTTTCTTTTGCTTTCAAGCTAGATGAAGTGCTGCCAGGCTGAGCAGACTGACTTCTAGATGAATGTTTGGGTGACAGACTGTGGAAAGCTGCACTGAAGCAAGTCTCTTCTGAGTAGGAAACAAAGAAACTCCAACTTCTTCTTGACAAATGATTGTTGCTGGTTTTTGTTGATCATTTTAAACTATAACCATGCCCATAGGAGCTCAGTGTCAGCAAAATCTCTGGTGCCTATATTGATCCTAAACTGTGCCAGCAAGGATGCTTACAGCTCAGTGAAAACATCCTGAACTCAGTTACTTTGCCTTAAAACCAAATGGTTGGCTGTCTTTGAAGTGACAGACAGATCCACTCTTTGAAAAGGAGCATGATTTTCAACTCAAACACAAGTCATCATCAGATTTACATCTCTGTGACATGTCATTTTGTGAAGACTAAGATTCAGGTAGGGCGGTTGTGGTGGTGGTTGTTCAGATGTTCCTTTAATGAACTTATACTTGTGGGAAAGCAACTTAAGCAGCCAGTGGCCATAGTGCCCAAGTTATTGCAAGCACTTGGGCAGTGCGTGAGCCCCTGGGCACCTTTCTGCCATCAGAGCTGGGGCAGCTGCAGCCTTAGCTTCAGCCCCTTTAGTCTTTCTGGTTTGGACAAGACATTATCCAACACAGGCTGTATGGACTTCGGTAAGGGGGAAGCTCCTAATGCCTTATTTTAGCTATTCTCTGTGGAACAGAGCACAAGGTGGATTTCTTCCGGCCCTTGGAGTAGGTGCATTGGTGACAGCTGTAATCAACACAGAGGTGCTTATACTGTTGGTGAACAAAAACAGCTGCTCGGCAAAAAAAAAAGGAAAAATAGGTTATTTTGTTTCTAGAAACCTGCATGTAGCTTTGTAAAGTGATGCTGCATCTTAGTCCTGCCAGGACTTCCTCTAAACCTGTATGGGACCCATACCTTCAGTCGGAGGGGTCGAAAAGATATCAGTGCTTACCAGGTTTGCTTTGAGTTGACGGTCACTTAAGTAGTGCCTGCATAGATCATGTGCTTCTGTATGGTTTGGAAGTTTTCTGTTTAACTTTTTAGCACTACAACTCCCTTAAGGTTTGTTCTGGGCTTTCAGAAGTAACTGGCAGCTCATTAACAGCTTTTTATTGGCACTGAAAGCAGTAGGAGTGAAGCTGCACAGCTTATGCACTGCAACACAGGATGCAGTCCTAGGTGTCTTCAGGAAGAAAAATGTGTTACAATCTCTTCTAGGTGAGATTATAGCACCATAGAGGAGATGGTGAAGTACTGGGTTTTGTTTATACCATGCTGGCAGGCTAAGGAAGAGAGGACGGGAGAAGTGCTGCTCCTATTGACCTCCAAAGGGACAACCCTCTGCCTTTTTTCCTATGACAAAAGCAAGCTGATAGCAAGCACTTCATACCTAAGTGGCATTTTGGCCAGCTTATCAAAACAGCTATAAAGCCTAACAGAGAATGAGCATGTGTGTGCTGATTGATGTATTATGTGGCTGGCACTAAAAGGACCCTGTTTGCCCATTCGCAGGCATGGCGGAAGCGCTGGTTTGTGCTGCGCAGAGGCCGCATGAGTGGGAACCCAGATGTGCTGGAGTACTACAGGAACAACCACTCCAAAAAGCCCATTAGGATCATCGACCTCAATGAGTGTGAAGTGCTGAAGCACTCCGGGCCCAACTTCATCAAGAAGGAATTCCAGAACAACTTTGTCTTCATTGTGAGAACCACCTACCGCACCTTCTACCTGGTAGCCAAAACCGAGGAGGAGATGCAGATCTGGGTGCACAACATCAGCCAGATCTGTAACTTTGGACATCTAGAAGATGGCACAGGTAGGATCATGCTCCTCTTGGGGGTTGGGAGAATGACCACTGGCTCACCATAGCAGCACACTGTGAAAGGAAGCATGGACCTTGTTGGGCTGGGCAAGGTGGTGTGGGACTTTGTTTCCTATAGCTCCACAGAGCACTGAGATGCTGCTAAACCCTGATTTGAAAGCTATCAGGGATCTCACTACCGCTGGATACACTTAATAGCTGGCCACTTGGTCTCATTTTAATGAAGCAATTCCTTCTAGAACAACAGCAGGTCCTTAATAAGAAAAGGTACTGTTTATGTGAAAAGCTGACTGTTATCTTCTGGGGCCATTTATTTCATTACATGTCCCATATTTATTTAGTTTGGTTAATGTAAGACACCTGTTCCAAGAAAGGGTCCTACAAAACTCACATTTTCTCAGGCTTTGCTGGATGTGGAATGTGCACAGGCCTGGGTGTATATGCACACACATAAATCAATGACAGAAACACTGAGCTGTCTTGGGCTTTTAATGAGAATTAAAAATAAAGAAAAGGCAAAAGACAGGAGAGTGTTAGTTAGAAGTGTGTGTCTGGACTTCAGAGATGGTCCTGCCAGAGAAGCATAAATTCAGCTTGTTTTGCCAGGACCTACACCTGTATATACTCAGTAGGGTGAATTTCTTGGAAAGCTTCCAAGAATTAACTGCTCCAAGATGGATGTAGCCAGTAATTAAAGTCAGGACCTGTATCATCATTAACTTACCTTACAAATGAGACAATAGGGCTCAGATAACAGCAATCTGTCTTCCCCTTGACATTTCCAAGGGGCAGATACAGCAGCAATTTGAGAGCTTCTTAGGAAGTGAGTCAGAAGGCAGTGCAAGAGCAGAAAAGGGTGGTGATGGAGGGACTTGATCCCAAGGGCAGCAATATGTTTGGGGGTATCACAGTGTGCCATGGTCCCTGTGATGCTGTTCTCAAACTGCTCCTGGTGTCTGCAACTGCCATGTAGCCATACCATTACCTTGTAATTTGAAAAGAAACAGAAGTCTATGGTGAGATGTTTTGTTTTAATCTATCCTAGTTCCTGGCCTTCTTTTAATCTTCTCTTCAGTAGTTTATTCTGAGAGGAAGTGGGAGTCGAAAGTGCACTGCAGTGGTCTTGCTGTAAATGTGATGTGTGCTCTGTTCCCACTCCCTTTAGAAACCGCCAGGAAAACATGCTGACATATTTTTATGTGCCAGTACAAACCGCTCCTGAATGCAACTAGCAAAATAGAGCTGGTAGCTTTGAGGGATTGGAGTCAATAGCCCTTTGCAGTTTGGATATAATTTGGGATATTCAGTAACCCCCTTCCTACAGATCTGTCCTTGCTGAGCTGTTGTTCGTGCATTGCTACTTCTGATGCAATATTGTTTTATATATTATTTTAACAGTTATTCTGAAATTAAGGTAAGTCTGTCCATGCAAAACAGAGGAGAGAAAAGTAATCCTTGTGTCTCAGATGTGCGTGCAGGCTGTGAGGATGTGTGTAGGGAGATGTGATCTGTGACAGAGGCTATCTGCCACAGAGGCTCTCCCAGCAAGGATGCATTTATACTGGGAAATGTCTGTTCTGTTATGCTGCTACAGTGCAGTATTGCTTGTAAGACTTACAGGTGGGCAATACTCAGACTGTTACACAGTGTATTTGTCTCCCATCAAAGAGTGCACTGCAGAGCCTTGGTTCCATATAAAGTCTGGTTCCTGAACTTACAGCCCTCATGACAGATGGCATAAGCTAAGCTTCCAGACATGCACTTACTGTATCTCTGATGGTGAGTAGCTCATAAGGTCTTCTATTTATCCTGCAGTCCATGCTGCTAAGGTCAGGTCTGGGGTGTGTTCAGGTCAGGCTGCAGGGCACATTCAGACCCTCCAGTTTAAATCTGCACAGTTCCACAGGTTGCACACCACATTTCAAACAGTTGCTAATTGCTTCGGCTTTTTGGAAGCATCTAAATCCCTCAAGAGCCTGTAGGTTTAAACAAATTACCCTTCAAAATTAACATAAGAAGAGAAAAGCTCTGTTAAATGCCATATGCTTTTTTGACTTGAATGATACTGTGTTAAAAAATAATAGTCCCTGAAATGAATCATCAAAAGAAAGACACATCAATTGCAGGGAATTTTAATAAGCAGTTCTGTATATTAAAATAAATCTCAAAGCCAATATTATATTATGAAATCAATCACTCTTAATCCTTGCATCTCCGAAAATTTGCTGTGACTTTGAGGCCAAAACCTGCACAGAAATCACAGCCACAGGTTCACTCCGTGACTCAGCTTTAAACACCATCCTGTTGTTCCTGGGTAGTCCCTTCCAGTAGTAAAGAAGCTGGATCAACAGCCAGGCCCTTGTCATCAGGGGCCTCGGGGCTGAAATGCAGGCAGCCAGATGCAGACCAAAGCTCGCAAAACCGTGGCTAAAGGACAGTGTTCTGTCAACAGGAGAGGGACGGCTGAGACATGAGAGGCAGGCAGATGTCAGGAAGCACCTGGGAGGGCGGCTGTCAGAAGGACCTGCCAGCAGCAATCAGCGCGCTGCAGCACTCGCTGCCATGCGGAACCGTGCTGGCGGTGCTGAAAATGACGGGGGAGCTGGCACCTTCGGGGAGGGAGGAAGAGGCCTCTCCCTCCCGGTTTTCCTACCAGTTCTATGTAAGATCTTGCTTCCACCTCTGCTGAAGGCTCCCAAAAGAGCAGTTGTTCTGCACAATGGACCTATGGCCATGTGTCCTGGGTTCAGCAGTAGCAGTCGATTTTTCTCCTTCTTGGTAGCTGGTGCAGTGCTGTGTTTTGACTTTCAGCCTGGGAACAGTGCTGATAATACCAATGTTTTCAGTTGTTGCTAAGTCATGTTTACCCTGACCAAGGACTTTGTGAGCCTCATGCTCTGCCAGGGAGAAGGGGAATCCAGCAGGAAGCAGAGACAGGACACCTGACCCAAACTGACCAAAGAGGTATTCCATACCACAGCATGTCATGCCCGGCGGGTAACTGGGAGTTACCTGGAAGGACAGGGGGTCTTCTGGGTCAGACTCATTTTTGGCAGGAAAAAAAGAGGGAGGAAAAGGGGGGCAGTGAGTGAACGAGCTGTGTGGCTGGATTTAAACCACAACACCATGCAGAGGATTGAGAGGACACCTGGGCCAAGGGGCCAGGCAGGGGAGGGGATGAAATGAGGTGGCATCATGGGCATGCTTTATCCCATATTCAAGCTGAAATCACAGTTGATTGACACAATGCAGCATAGCATCTTTCCACTGGAGAAACTGCTGTGAAAATTGTTTAGCCTTGTTCATATCCATCCTTGCCCACTGCTGGGACCTTTTTCCTTTCTGACAGCTCCTCTGGTGGTTTCTTTGCCTCCTTAAATGTCTCCCCATTTGTTTTTTTCTTTGTCAGTGTTCACAGACCCTGCCAGGGCATGGGGATGGTTTGGTTTTCTGGGACCTTGCTGCCGCCACACTGGGGAGCATCGCCCAGGCCAGGGCAGTGTGGTGGGAGCAAGGACAGGCAGGACCACTGCACTGAGGGGCTACCTGGAGGGACTGTACTCTCCTTGAAAACATGCCTTCTCCCGAGCACCTTCACATCATTTCCTCCTCCATATAGAGAGGGGCAGGCAGTGCCCTGGCAGGCTGGCTCATGGCAGCGCCTGGCTTTTGTGCAGGAGCTCAGGGGAGGTGTGACAGCTCCTCCCAGCCCAAGGGAGATGCTGAAGGACAAACACTGGGGATACTCCCTCCATACTCCACCCTTAGCAGAAGAAAATCTCTTTCCAGCTACACAGACTCAAGGCTGCTCTTTAATCTCAGGCTCTGGCCCCTGGCCAGGAGGGTGGGTGGCATTCCTGCTGCCTTGGTATGGCCATGCAGCCTGATGGGCGGTTGCTGTGAGCAGGACCCCCTTAATTCACTGTGTCCCTGCACTGCTGCTGCACCATAGGAATTGTGGGGGAGTGGGGTGGGGTCTGTAACAGTAGTGAGAAGCCTTCTGTTCCTCCAACCAATGGCCCTGGCATCAATGCAGGTTAATACCCAGTGAAGCAGTTATTTTGGCAGCTGAAGCCTCCCGCTGTGTCTCTGGCAAAGGGGAGGGCAGGCAGCAAACCTATTCTCTGCCTTCTCACTGTTGAAAGTGGCCATGCATAATTTATCCTACCCAGCTGCTGTCACTGTACAACTTTAATGCATGCTGATTCGGTTACCAGCAGAGCTGGCAGGGACAGGGACAGTCTGTTAAGAGCTGGCCACAGGTCCCTGAGCCCCCGAAGGTTAGAAAAGGGCAGGGCTGTGCTGTCCCCATCCCTCCCTTCTGCTCACAACACTTGCCATGTGGTCTGCAGCTCGAAGCCTTTCCTGATGGGATAATCCATGGCTAAACCCTGAGAGTACCAGATGGAGTTCAGGCCTGTTTGTTCTCTTGTGCTAATAATCCAGAATGTCATTAATTTCTTTCTTATGCATTGTGGCAGATTTTAGTTGTTGGTTGTCATTGGGATTTTTTAAATATGTGGTCAGATGGTGACGTGAACGTGCCTCTCTGAGATCCCTATGGAGTTCTCCGGTGCATATTTGATCATCCTCAGCTTGCAAGACTGCTCCTGAGTCCAAGATTTGAAAGCAGAGCTGCTGTCTGAGCCAGCACAAAGAACAAGAGAAAAGTTATGTTTCAGATGGGAAGGCTGCAGCTCTCAGCTTTGCTTTGCAAATGTGAAACCCCATAAAAACCATTCCTTCCAGGTGCTCACTGGTGAAATCCTGCTGCTATAAGCACCTGCTCAAACTTAAGCAGAGAAGAGAATCACAGAATGGTTTGGGTTGGAAACGACCTAAAGCTCATCCAGTTCCAACCCCCTGCCACAGGCAGGGACACCTTCAACTAGAGCAGGTTGTTCCAAGCCCTGTCCAACCTGGCCTTGAACACTGCCAGGGATGGGGCAGCCACAGCTTCTCTGGGCACCCTGTGCCAATATCTCATCACCAATTTAAGCACTTGCTTACGTGCCTTGCTGACATGAGGTCCACCACTGCACCAGACCTTGAAACTTAACAGGAGGAAGCATCAGTGAGTCAATACTGGTTGATGGGAAGGAAAGAGGCAACTCCCTCCCTGCTTTAAAGGAGTGAGGTGTGGGGTAGCGCAGAGAGAAAGAAAATCTGCTGGTTTACTGTTCTCACGGAGATCAGCAATAGGCCTGGTTGAAGCCCATGGTGGGTGGTATGGAAGCCAGGGTCATTAGAGGGTTTTGTTTGCACTTACTGATGTTATTGTCTAACCCCACAAGCCTTGGCAGCCCCCTCCATCTCTCCTGACCTGGTTGCACACATACCTAACGCCTCCCAGGCTTAAGAAGTAACTGCAACAACCCAGTACAGTGCCAAGACTCCTTCGTCCCTTCTGCTCAGCTGCCCTGGCTCTCCAGCAGGGATGGAGGTGGACGCGGGGCTAAGCAGCCAGCTAGCTCTGTGCAGCCTGGGCCAGCCCTGCTGTCTGCCGCCCAAATCTGCTCCATTGCCCTCCACCACCCCTCTCTGTGCTGGGAGGACTGGAGTGCTCTATCACAGAGCACAGGCTCCCCTGAGCCTTGTAGCCTCTAGAAACCCAGCAGAACCAACAAGCCAACTGGGCAATGACAGCTACACCATAGCTCTCCTGGCTTTCATGTCTGATCTAGACAGGCATAAGGAGTTTGCAGACACATTCAGAGGTGCAACAAATACAGCTACCCCATGAGCTGTAAAGCTCACTTTTGTCCACTGAGATGAAGAAAGTAGGAAGAAATCAGTCCTTTCCCTTGTCACCATTAATTTGAATTGTTGGACATGAATATTTGCAGTAGGTCCCAAAAAATACTTGCTAAGACAGACTGCTGTGCCTCAGCACTCTCCTGAAAACAGGTTGTCTTCATTACTGTCTGCAGTAGGGATGCTACAACTCTGCAGGAGTAGGAGACCCCAAAGCAAGGTGTGTCTGCCCTTCAGTTTGGCAGCTGGCAATGGCCAGGGTGAGCCAGAGCTGTCCCTCATCTGGGGCCATCCATTCCCATTGCAGGTTCAGTGGAGAGCCTGTCTCACACGACCTCATCCCCGCAGCCATCACCAGCCACCTCTACCCACGCCTCCCGCATCGCTGATCCCTCCTTCTCAGTGGACCACGCTGCTGCTGATGCGTCCGCTGCAGAGGAGACCCCCAGCGAGTCGGAGTCGGTCTTCCTCCCCGACTACCTCTTCCTCTCCAACTGCGAGTCGGGCAAGCTCAGCCACAACAGGTAGGTCTGGGCTCTGCCAGAGCCACCCTCTGCCTGCCCAGTGATGGCCTGGGAAACTGGGGCAAACTGGTCCTTGAGCCCTGCCACTCGGGGTAGGCTCCTGAGCACAACAGGGACCACCAGCCTAATCCGATTTACAGGGTTTTTTTCATAGCACAGATTAGCAGTCAAGCATTGTATGTTGGTGCTGTCACTTTCCTGGGTGGGTGGCTGGCAAGCTCACACACAGCCTCCCTCCAGATGCCCGTTTTGCTGGCTGCTGACCAAGGTGCTCCACGAAGTGTCCCAGTCCAGCTCAGGGAGAACTTGCACAACCATAGGGAAGGGACGGTTTTAGTCCTGAGCTATGGGGTTGTTTTCATTTTTGCTGTATTCAGTTGCAACCAGGAGAAAAGAAAAGCACAGGTCCTGACCTCTGTCTCTGTGCAGGTGTGACAGCTGGTCGAATTCGGACAGATCTCTGGAGCAAACCTCATCAGACGATGTTTTTGTCGACTCCTTGCAGTCCCAGCCCTCCTTATACCTTGTACAGCCTTCCAGCGCAGGCACTGTGCACCAGGATGGGGCCCCGCTGGCCAATCCCAGCACTGTGCTGAGGAACATAGATGTTAACGGGCCACCCAGTGACATTTCCTCCTCTTCTCCACTGCTGGGGACACCACTGACTCCAACCTTTCAGATTGACAAGAGCCAAAGCGTGCTGCCCTACGGTGTGACCCAGCTGGACGTCCTCTCCAACACCCCTCCGCCACGGCCACCCAAGCCAACCCACTTCTCAGACAGGAGAGGGGAAGAGGTTGGTGGTGGGGCCCTCCAGAACGGCCACGCAGGGATCTGCAGGGCTCAGGTTGCTCTGGTGCCCAGGAGGATCTCCTTGTCCAGCTTAGACAACGTGAGGAACTGGAAAGGTGAGTGCATTTCTGAGAGCCAGAGAAGCAGGACCGGTGAGGGACGGAGCTGCTCCTGAGCACAGAGAGGTGCCCATCTCCACTTGTGCCTTCCTGTCCTCCCCACTGTGAAATCACACAGCACTCAAAGCTGCCTGAAATGCTTGTTTCAAACTAGCTCAGACCTGTACCTCACATTCAGCTGCTGCTCCATAAAAGCCACCTCAGTGCGTGTACACATGGGCAGCAATTTGACTGCGATCTCTTCAGGGTGCCTCATGGCTTGACAGTTTTCTATGCCCCCTCCCTCTCCAAAAGGGAAAGCAGTAGAAAAACAAAACTTAAAAGCCATCCATGGAATCAGGCAACGCCAAACTCTCTGTTTATGCAGGTCAAAATGTGGGCTTGCACATGGGAAATGCCTTTGTAGCTGTGCTGCTCCACTACTTCCAGTGCTTTCCATAACAGCAGCATGTCTTTGGGCAGCTTAGAGTAAAGAACAGGAAGCCAGGGAGACACTGGGGATGGTATGTAATCCCAGTGCAACCAGGGACTCTGTCCTTGAGTAAATCCCACTCTGTCCTTGCACTTCAGTCAGGGTAGCCTGAAAACCAGCTGCAGACTGAGGCTCTGCTGCAAAGCAAGCTCTGCTCTGAGCTGAGGCGACTTGTTCTGGAAACACCATCATGGCAAACAGAAATAAGTCAAAAAACAGAACATCAAGGTGTAAAACCCAGCATACATAGAAAGTCTTATTTTGTGGAGCCACAGAATAAAGAGAACAGAGGGAGGCAGCTGGAATACCTGGCTGGAAATCATCAAGTATTTTGTAGTGATGGGGTATTTTTGACAAGGAAGAAAATGGAGGTTTTCAAGGACAAGTGTCCTTAAGATTCCTGTAGTTTGAATGTTGAACTATTTGATCTTGCTCTTAAAGCTCAGAAGCTAAAGCAAGGAGACCTCTGCCCAGCCTGTTTATCAGTGTACAAACAATTCTTGGAAGGCTTCTGACGAAACACCCATCAGGGGAATTGGTCTTCTTACTTATCAGTTACTTTTGGTTGCTCCCCAAAAGGTGCTGCTCTGCTCCTGCATGGGTGCCGCTCTAACACCAGTGTGCGTGAGACAGTTAACGTTCCTCCAGCCCAATTCACAACCAATGTTTTTAAGAGGATTAAGTGGCCGAATGTCATGCTCTGCTACAGTGCTGCAAGGTTATCTCTGCCTGACAGGGGGCAGCAATGAATTAATAAGTGCTTCTGTTTTTTCTTCCCCTAAGTGCAGCTGAAACTATTTGAAAGGTTAAACTCTGAATTAAAATATGCTTAACAAGAAAGATCAGAAACAAGGAACAGGGAGAAAGCAGCTGCTCCTCACCAGCTCCCCGAGTGAGCCCACTCCAGTTATTTACTTCATGTTTTGCCCCTGGCAATCTGTAAAAGCTGAACAGATGTAATGAATCCAGTGCAAAGGCAGTGTATGCTGATTGCAGTGCCATGAAGGGGAGCGAGGGGTATAAGTGTAAGGCACCTGTATCCTGGCATCTGCTGGAGTGTTGTGCCTCAATGTCTTTTTGCCAAACTAATAAATAAATGTATCTGTCCCAGGACAGTGACTGTCTCTGAATGTGTATCTGCACTAACAGTATTGCTTTGTTCTTGTTTAGCACCTTGGCCTTTTATGCTGATACCAACACAAAATTGCAGTGCGGTATTGACATCTCCACCACAAGAGCAGGGACTGCATTAGCATGGTAGCAGAGTTTAATGCATTCTCACAGAAAAGCTATTTTCTGCACAGAAAATCCTTTTCCAAAAAAGAATGGCAGTCGTAAGCATCTCCCACTGTTGATGATCTATGCACTGAATTCTGGATTTTAGGGGGTTTGCCATTTGCTTTAAAATTCAAATTGACCTACAGCAAGACAAAGGCCAGCCTGCACAAGGGGACACACTGACTGGTGACCTCTTCTCTGGCTGTTTGATCCCCATCATCTTGAGCCACTTGTACCACATCAGCATTTCTGGGTGACAAAGAGAAGAGTTTATCTCTTACCATTAGGTTCCCCCATAAACCCTCTGTACAACATGTGCTTCCCTGGCACCTTACATATGAGGCTCCTAAATAACTTTCCAAACAATGATGAATCAATATTCCCTTCTTCATATAATTTATCCAATCTGACATGGGAAACAGAGCGGGACTAGAGCAGGAGCTGGGTTTAAATGTTTGCTTTGTTGCTTCTTTTCCACACCACACCAGTCTTTCCCCAACTGCTTGTGTTACAGGAAGTGTAAGTTATACCTGGATTGCCCATGAGCATGTTCCTCGGTTTCATTATGCTTAAAATAGACATAATCACTTTTGAAATGCTACTGAGTTAGTTCTGGTCTTAAGTGTTATTGGATTTCCACATTTAGGGTAAATAGTAGGAGTTATGGAATCTTTATGAAACTCTGGTTATGTTAGAGCCGTTTGCTTTACTTCAGCATTATCTCCATATGGTTGCACTGCCTTATCACATTTTTAATCACTTTCATTTTTCACTTGCAGCAGATATGGAAGGCAGTTCCTTAAGAAGTCGGGATAAGAGGCTTAGCTTAAATTTGGTAAGTAAAGTACTCTGCTTGCGTATATTTAAAAGACTGGCACAGGACAGACTTCAGAAAGTGAATCATGTCACATTCTGATATCCAGTTAGTCCTCTCCTGTGCTCAGCGGAAGAAGCACTTGGCTTTGGGCAATTTCTGTGCTGCTGCTTCATGGCTGTAGAAAGCCTTTGAGAAGAGAGGGAGGGGAAGGCCAAAACCCTGAACACACTGGTTTTAAAGCAGATGAAGCCAGGTTTATTATGAAAAGGGTACCAATAGCCTCAAGAATTAAACTGTTGACACAGGGCACCTGAGAACACTGCTTATCTGTTGAAAAAAAAAAGGGTCTGAAGAAGCCTATCACTTCATGATCCTGAGAGATATCTCTTCTTTAAGAGTCTTGGCTCACATAGTACCTGTGATTCAGGACTCTTGTCAGACCAAGCTTCCTGACTTTGCCTTTGACAGCCATGGTTATATGTAGCACCATTACACATCCCATAGCCAGTCTTCTGCCTGGTGCTGCTGGATATTGTCTTCTGTGTGAGTCTTGGTTTTTTGTTGCTTACATGTAAGCCCTGTTGGTGGGCAACATGCATTTTTCTTTCCTTTGAAAGCTTGAAAGGTTTGTAATCAGTTACTCTTACGATTCAGCCAGCACTAACCTACCTTAAATGAATTTCTAGTGTTTACTCTCAGCTATCTCTAAACTTGTAGGTGTGCGTCTGCTTTCTCAGCTTCCACGTTTGCAAAGATCTAGTTCATCGTATGTTCTCCTTTCACATGTTTTTTGTATGTAGGAGCCTCCTTCATTTTACAGATCAGAATTACTGCTGGGAGAGGCAAGTGCAGCCTCACTGAAGTTGGAGGATTTAACATACTGAAGTCACTGATAAGTTTGGTTCTAGTTTCCAGCAGTGACCTGTAAAGCTCAGAAGTAGACTTCTTCAGAACTGGAGTGTTCATCTAAACTCACACATTTGTCTCATGTCTTTCCGGCTTGAGCCTCTCATGTCAGGAGTGGCCTTGGGCTCAGATCTCTTGCCAGCTTGCAGGGGTTTAGCTGTTCATTTGTTGACCAGTTTCTTTTCCTCCTTCGGTTCTGAAGCCCTGCCGGTTCTCCCCACTCTACTCGACTGCTTCAGACAGCCCAGAAGACAGCTACGTGCCCATGCGCCCCAGCAACTCTCCCTCTGCGCCTGGCTCCGACTGTTCACCCGACGGCTACATCCCCATGAGCCCTGCCTCAGCCACGTTTACCTTCCCCGTTGTCAGCACTGAAAAACTCACCAGCCCCTTACCTGAGCTTCCCTCGGACCTGGAGCCCCCTCCAGTGAACAGAGACCTCAAGCCTCGTAGGAAATGTAAGTCCAGACCTAAAGTGCAATTGGCAGCCAAGGGAGCCTGATAGCAGGGACAGGGGTGGCCTCCTTTGATAGTGCCCTGGGGGTATGTTAAAGGGCTTACCGTTCTAGAAGAGGGATTGAATTGCTGTGTAAGTGCCTTATAGTACTGTAGTATGGGGTGACTCTGCGGGGTTGTTTGTGAGCATGGGAAGAGTGTCCATGCCTGTGTTTGCAGTCAAAGACCAGCTGACCGCATTAGCATGGTGCATAGCTTCAGGTCCACTCTGATTGCAAATGACCAAATGGACATAGCCTTGGAGAGACAGCATATTAAAGCCTGCAGCTTGGAAGTACATATACTGCTGTCTCACCAGCTCCCTGACCTTCCAGGAACAGAATATCCAAACACTGAAATATTCAAACTTGATGTGTGGGCTGTTGGTTAAAACTCTGTTGGGCAGGCGCAGATGTCTTGTTTAATTAGGAATTTCCTGCAGATGCTTTTACTGATGGTAATTTTCCACTTCTGCTCTTCATGGCATCTCCAGAATCTGGGTTGCACTTCCAGAGGATATAGTGGGGACAAAATTCAGCTTTGCACTGGAGAAATTGCCTAAACCTAGCCTGTATTAAGCTTCTTTGGGCTGCAGAGCCACAGGGCTACTCAGAAATCGGTTCAGGAAGTGCTACTGTGGACACAGAAATCTAGACCATTGCCAGGAAGCAAAGCTCAAGTCCTTTCTTAGACGGGTTTGGGAATGGATTGGAAAATGGACGTTGACCGGTGAGAAGAATGATCCTCCATTTGGAGGATGTTTTTATCGAAGAGAGCCCAAAACCTGTTTTTACCTGTAGGCTGAACTGGCCGCTCCTCTTGCAGGCAGCATACGCAGCGCAGATTTGAGGCAAGCATATGGACCTGGTGGGGCACTTGCTCTGCTTATGCCTGTTGTATTTATTGTGTTATTTTAGGGTAAATGAGGGACTTTGCACTGACTAAAGAGATCATTTGTTACTGATTTCTGTCTTGGTTGTACCTATTATATTCTGTCAAATACTCTGTTAGGTTCTTACTGTTAATATCAAACTGTGTTTTTCTGAACAATCGGTACTTTTCTTTAGCTCTGCTATTGGAAATGTAGTTCCTTTTGTATCTACTTGCAGCACGGCCACCTCCTCTGGACTTGAGGAACCTCTCCACAATCCGGGAGCATGCTGCTGTGACCAGGATGTGGACTGTGCCTTAGTAAGTCATCAAGAAACCTGCTGTTCCAATCTTTTAAGCATTAACATTGTGGAATGTAGTTAAAAATAACTTATCACATCCCACAAGAAACAGTTTCCTGGCAAAGTCCACAAACAAAAATTCCCCAGGGCTCCTTCTAGCATCCCCCAGGCTTGCTGTCTGTAAAAATCAAGGCTCCCTTTCACAATGGGAAGCTCCAGGGCATTCAGCGTCATGCAGTGATGCTCAGTCTGTTTTGAAGGTTCCTTTCAAAAAGACTGGAGCTGGCCTGCACTCTAGTGTGGCTGCTGCAATAGGTAAAAGCTTCATGTGCCTTAATTATTCTTTTCAAAGTGATAGAGCTGTTTTTGTTTCTGAGAATTAATATAGCAAAGGAAAACCAAATAAGATAAAGATCTGCCTGACTTGTAGCCTGCGTGTAGACTTCTGTGCTGCCACACAGCAATTCCAACTTCATCTGTTGTTTTGTCACTGGAAATTAGTTTTGGGGTAAAACAAATGCATTTGGTCCCAAAGCCCAGGTACAGTGAACAGATGACACTGTTGGGAGCCAAGGGCAATCTTCAGGTTGCTCATGAGTAGGGGAGGACTGCAGCCTGCTGACTGGGGGATCTTGGTACTGTGGGAAAAGGCAGACAGGAGAGCCAGCTGCATGCAAAAGCCAGAATTCCCATCAGCCTACTCTGCATACCCCAGACACTCTGAGAAAGGCAGAGTCTTGCTAGCATAAGTGCCAGACGGGGCATTTCCACTGCCCTGCCTCAGGTAGCCACTTGAAGGGCAAAAGGGACATGAGATAGACGTTTTCTCATTGCAGACCCCTCTCTCAGTTGTATAGTCCAAAGCTGGTTAAGCCCTTCAGTCCTGTGTGCTGCCTGTTAGGGAAACCCAGTAGCCTGCCTCCCAAGCATCCCTGCCAGAGCGCTGTGGTTAATTAGTGCTGACACAGTGCAGAGTGCTGAAGGATAACGAGCTCAGAGGGAGTTTGCCTGTTTTACATTAACAAAACTAAAAAAAAAAGAAGTATGCCCGGAACTAATAAAGCAAAGGAATTATACTGCTCATGCTGCACAGAGTGGCCATCTAATTTCCTAACAACTAACCCCATTGTGCTAGCCTGCAATCATTTACTCACGATATACCTCTGGCGGTTATGTTAGCAGGAGAGATTTCCTGGTACAAGGGCTGAGTTGCAGCCTTCTCCATAGCACAGGCAGCATGTGTTTACACTGTGTTCAAAGCCAGACAAGTTCCTCTGCATGCACCTCCAGTAGCTGATTAATTCACACCAGTCTTCGAAATGTGGATACCCACATAACTGAGTAACTGCCCCACTGGCATATATTACCTGAATGAATGATATCTGTCTCTGTGCCCCTTGTTGAGTTGCTCAACTGTTTTATGCTTTCTGTCATATCAAAGATGACAAACTTTCATAAATCCCAGGGGAAAAAATCAACACACAGCCACATAGCACAATTTTTCTAGAACTAAGGAGTGGTTTTGGACATCCTCTCCATAAAGGCTGCAGCGTTAGTGTGAGTTTATTCACCATATGGACTGTGTCAGGCTTTGGCTTCATTTCAGAGCATCTGTAAGATGCTTCCTTAACCTCTCCTGTGTTTTTCTTCATAGCAATCGAATGAGCTTTATCTCACCAGAAAGAGACGGTATTAATTCAGCAAGAATATTTGCCAATTCAGTTTCCGGAGAAGAGGAAGAAAGTTACATTCATATGGTAATCTTCATTTTCACACAGCCATCCTTTGCTTTATTCTGCTCTGTCACATTGATGGAGAATGCAGAAGTTTGTTTTCTAAGAAAAAATGTCGAGGAGGTTTGTCCTTTGCCTTCTGTGTTTTAAAAAAATGATGAAATGGTTTTAAAGCAAAGACAGTGAGACCAATTTACAGAGAGATGAGGGGAGCCCTTCTTCTGCTCTGCAGAACTCAGCTGTTCGCCCACGAATGTTGCTGAGCAGTTCCAAGAGATCACAGGGATCAGCCATATTTACATGAGAACTCATTAAGGCAAAGGAAAATTAAATCTTTTCACCTTTTAAAAGTGTGCCCCACAAAGTCTCCTAGGAAATGACAGAAAGCCGTTAGTGCACTTCCTAAAGGAACACACCAAATATTGTGCAGAAACAGAACTCCCATTAAAGTCTCTTATTGCTTCTGCTTTGGCTGGTGGCACTAACCCCACTTCCCATCCCATGAAAGAAGAACATCTGGCTTTGTGGCTTCCTTTTCTTCATTCACTCTTTAGCCGTATCTTGCAAAAAGACCAGAATCTCAGTTTCCTTTGAATTTTAGATGGAAATAGATCACAAAACCCTTGATCTGAGCCAGTGTCTACAGATCTGGCTTCAGAGCCAAAGCCCAACAGCAGTGGCTATAGAAACATATTGCAAAACTGACCACAGTCTCTATGAACCAAATTTTAACCACACCTCTACTAAAGCCAGGTCTGCTCAGGAGGGCAGTTCCAGTTGTAACTACTCCCCATTTGATTTTTCTAGTCAGAAAAAAACCATCCATACATTTGTGGTCATCTGTGATTTTCCTGAGATTAATTTTCAGTTCCTAGATTTGAACAGAATTATCACCATTTCTTCAAATTCATAGAACAACGATGATTAAGAGGGCACCCTTGCAAATCTGAGCCTTCCATGGCCTTGGGGTGAGAAACTGGGCACAAGTCCTTCCTGGTGACATTGTGACTGGGTGACAACCCAGTTCACTTGTTTTGCTGTAATTCCCAGGAGAAAAAGGCTCTCACCATGTCTTTATGCCATCCTGCAATTAGTCAATGTTACCCTGTGGTTAGTCACCAAATGGCACCCTTGGCATAGAAAATTACATGGGTGCTGACTCCGCTAACTTACGTTTTGCCAGATGAGTCTCCCACTCCACAGTGTGGCCCTGCTTCCTTTTAGGATCATGTTTTAAGAGCCTTAAGTGTTTCTCTTCTTTCCCGACAGGAACACAGACAGGCAACATCTCCATACAGTGGTGCTTTTCCATGGACAAGGAAATCTAACCTTGATTACTTAGCATTGGATTTTAATTCTGCTTCCCCATCCCCTGTACAGAAGGTATGAGACATCTGAAAAACCCCACGGCCTCCTGTCTTTTTGTCTGTTGGGAGGAAAACAAGATTGAGATTCACACTCTGTTAGGTGCCCTAGGTGCCATGATGAAGTCAGTTGTGTTTCCAGCTGACTACATTTGTGGCAGGTTCAAGATTAATGTAATAAAAGCACTATTAGGGTGATAACAAGGTGTCCTTAGCGTGACTCACGGGGTCATTAACACAAGCAGAGGGCAAGAGGCTGTGCTGGGATGTGCAGCCATGAGGGCTTGTGGACAAGCTGCTTAGTGCTTGCAGGATCTCGGCGTTCTCTTTCATTTTCATCAAGTCTCCACAAACCCTTTCCTACTATTTTTCCCCCCAGTCTCTCTGCCATAACAAGTTACAGCCCATGATAAGTTCACAAGGTGAAACTGTACCATCTCTTGTAACATGGCAAAATGTACATCCTTATTCTTGCATCACCAAAGGCATTTCAATTTCCTTAGCCATGCTGAGAAAATACATTTCTTCTTCCAAAGAGCTTATAACCTGTCCAGGAGGTGGGTAGGTACCACTGCAAAGTGATGAGCTGTGGTTACTTTGGGCCATTTTACATCATTTTCCCAATCAGGTAATACTTCTAGATGCAAAAGTCTACTAAAGTTCCTTATTTAACCCCCCTCCCCCTGTAGTTAAAATGCAGTGAGGTTATCCCTGCAGCAGGATCACTCAGATGAGAAGGGAATGATTGTCTGCATGGAAATAGCCAGAACAGCATGTTTCCCTTGCTTGCTGTGCTGGGCTGAGTGACAGGGTGACAGATGGATAATTATAGCTAAAGCAGGCTGTAAAGCAATGCTTTTGTCAGCTGATGTCACTGTGAGCTTCAAGGTGAAGTGAAGCAATCAAGGAACAAGGGAAAGGGAAAACAGAAAATCAAGACAAGTTTCACTAGCATCCCTTTTCAACCCTAAAATTGATATGTTGGTTTTAACTTTCTCCCACAGAAACCATTTCTCTCTGAAGAGCAGAGAGTGGACTATGTCCAGGTAGATGAACAGAAGACTCAAGCTTTACAGAACACTAAGCAGGAATGGACAGATGAGAGGCAATCAAAAGTCTAAAGGAAGATGATCTGGGATCTGGAGAAGGTGTTTGTTTTTTTTGCACTGGAACCACAATGTTAATGAAGCAGCTATCACAGTAGAGTTCAAAGGCAGAGAGAGTTGTGAGATGCTATGCTCTGTAGAGGAATGGCATTTTTAATGGAAACCTTTGATTTCAGCTGGAAATAGTATGTTGAATGAGTGAGTGGTTCACTGATGATTAAGTAATGCATTACCCTTTTTACTGCCCCTACCAGTAAGCTACATGGTACCATTTTCTGGCATGATTCTGCAACGAGTCATACACTTAATGTTAACAAATCCACTACATGTTGCATTAATCTAGTTAGTCCTGCCTTCTCCCTCTGTTACATAATTCCTAGTTGCTAAAGCTATTTTTTGATATTCCTACAAATACTGCAAGGTGCTCAGAGTGCTTTTACGGCAGTGGGCATCTGACAGGTATTGGTGACTAATCAACTAAGGGCTAAAATACTGAAACAATAAAAAGGACTTTTTGAATATACAGTTCTTAAGCAAAGAGAATTTTGGAAAATATTTTTCCCCTGGGTTTAAGGGGTCTGACTCTGAGCTGATGCTGTCAGAAACTCAAAACAGGACTATGTACTGATGGGACTGGAGCTCATGGTCTTTGACCCTCTGGATGACGGTCATCATGTTAAGTTTCTCTCTGTTGTGGCTCATACTTGTTGCCTTTCTGTCTGATCCCTACTGGTGTTTTCTCCCCTATCTTGAGGAGCATCTTCGGCACAGCACAGCACAGCTGCTCCTCTAGCAGGAGGCTGCAGGCACACAGCTCTTGGCTGGCCAAAAAATTGAAAGGGAAGCTGTGAGCCTGTTTCTGCAAGTCTTGGGAAAACTGGCAAAGGATCAAGAATGCTTTCATCTGAACTGCAGAAGAAATGCCATTGGAATTGCTGGTAGCAGCCCTCAAACTGATTGTTTCACTAGACCCACCCTACCCCACACCCCACCCCCAAAAAAAAAAAGAGAATGAGGAAGTGCAGCATTCTCCAAGAGAGGCCAGCAGGCCTGCCAGCATAAAACAATGCGCTTACGCAGCATGAGGACCTCTGGATTCAGGAAGCTTATCTACCTTGGGACTTGTTACAGGCACTATCTCAGGATCACATATGTGTATAGTTTATAACATACTTAACTTAAAAGCTTGGCTGCAAATTTCATCTTAAGGTGGTTTACAGGCACCTGATCCATGGAAGTCCGCAGTACTGCTGGGTGACCCACACTGGATTTGATCACGCAGGCTTTGCTCATGTAAGTCCCACTAGCCATAAGAGGTCTGATCCTGTCAGTACCCACAGACAGCTAAGACCTTGTGCAAGATTTCCTCTTTGACAGTGCCCAGTCCCTGGCCTCCCTTGATGTGCCTGTTGCTGCCACATGTGTTACTGTAATCTGACATCCCAAAAATGCTGATTTACCAAACAGAGGTCGTGGAAATGTCATCGCAGAAACCACTGGCGTTTCAAGGCTCCTGCTTGCTGTCCTTCTTGCACCCATTCTGCTTCAGCCCTGTGAGCCCTCTGGGAGGCTGAGAGACACGTCCAAGTCACACGTCCTGCTGGGAGAGGCAGCGTCGCTGACACAAACACCGTTTTTCTCCTACCTCAAGAGAGCTGAAGTGCTTGCAAGTCTCGCTGCTGCTTTAGCGCAAACACAAAGCTGGGGATCCCTGGTGACCAGGCTCTTATTAGTTTACCCTGTGAGAACAATGAGGTTCACCAGCACCTTTATTGACTCTGGGGCAAACTGGGCACCCAGGCCTGTGGACATAAACTGTCCTGGACTACAGCTGCTCGGGTAAATGGTGTTTATACTGCAGATAGCTGTCCTGCTGTTTCTTTCTACTCTGTTTCCCCCCTTTCCTCTCCTCCCCTCCCCAAAGCTCTAAAATGGAAGTTAATGTTCATAAAAGTTTTGAGAAGAATTCAGATTTCTCCATATAAATCTTGTCTGTCTGGTGCAAAATTTGCCTTGTGAGAACCCAGCTGTTCTGTTTTAAACTGCTTTAGGAGAGCTCTGAGCAACCGTGCCCTGGGTGTGGTACTGCTACAGGGGAAGTGGGTTTGGGGAGAGGCGGCGGAGAACTGCGCCTCTGCAGAGCTGCTGGAGGGGAAGTGAGGAATGGCCACAGTGACGGAGGTGTTTGCCTTCCTGCTCCAAAGAGTTGCCTTGCTTTCAAGGTGTGCTAGTAATACGTGTCGCTGAAAGCTTCTGGTGCATGCTGCAGGACTGAAAGAGTTAAAAGACCAGCTAAGAGGTAGGGGACAAAAAGCACTCACAAAGGACAGGGAAAATTATGCTATGCTGCCACAGACTCCAAATTGCCAAGTGATGGGATGGCAGCCCCCAGTGCAGGTTGCAATAACACACAAATCAGCTCCTGATTGATTGGGAAGTTTCTTATCATGCTGTCAGAAAACCCTGTGAAGTGCAAAACCACCACGTTACTGGAGAGCACTGACTAGCTTGTTGTTCCAGTTTATTGTACAAACATTTAAACTTTGGAAAACCTGGCTAAGGGATTGTTCAGAAGTCTAGGATAGAAAGAGCTCTTTTGGCATTTAGTTTTCCATTAAAAGGACATAAACATATAGCTTGACAGGGTCTGTCCTTGGACCTGAATGGCCTCCGTTCAACTTCATGTATTCCCTGCTTGACCCCAGTGCACTCTTATCCTGATCAGATGCTGCTCACTGGTTCCTAACTTTAGCTTCTAAACTAAAAGCTAGGTTTGGGGGTTATTCCGTTGTTTCATGTAAGGTCTATTTTACCCTCTGCTCCAGGGTCCGTGCCCTGCATTCTTGTGTAAGCACAACACATAAAACAGGAGCAATTAAAAAAATACCCCCCAACAAAGGGTTTGGAAGCAGAGCAGTGCTCCCTCAAGGCTTTTCTTCTTTTGTTTTAGTCAAATTCCACAATACTTTAGAGAAGGAGGATGGTGGGAGAGCGACAAAGGCCAAATCTGCTTGGTGGCCACCCCATCATGAAGGATTTTGGTGTGAATGGAGCCACAGCAGCGCCTGACATCCCCACGGGCTGCCAACCACTGCAGTGCCACTGGAACTTGTAGGTGGGAGAGGAGTGATGTTACAAAGCAAAAAGGAGTCACTGCTTCAGTAAGTCTGTTCTTAAATACTGAACCCTTGGCCAAAGAGGAAGGAAAACCTGTGACAGCACCTGAAAACCGAGTCAGCTTTTGACAGCATCATGTCTGAAGATGTAGTCCAAAACTGTACATTTTGGCCCTGGGGTCAGGCAGGCACACTCCTGGTGGAGTCTGCTTTTTGCTGTGGGTCTGCTCTGTCATTTGTGTGTATTTCTTCAAAAAGTATCATGAGAGCTGATGCAGAGAGAGGCTCTGCACCTAAATGAGCATAGGGTAGCCAGTGGACCCTGAGGAAACCCTTGTCTGCTGGGGAGGGCTGGCATTGCACAGCTCAGGACTTGTAGTGCCTTGTCCAGCAGTGCTGGGGTTTCTCCTTTGAAATGAAGCTCCAAATGAGCAGAAAAGCTTTTCTTTAATTGGAAGTGTCACTCTGTGGAGTTGTCAGATGATGCTCGGTTGCAGGGCAACGTGGAAAAACCCAAGTCAGTCCTGCAGTTGCTGTCAGGGTGATCAGCTGGATTCCCCCACAGCTGGTGAGTGAGCTGGTATGTCAGCACCCCAGCACAAGAGGGAGGAGAGCAGGGTGAGATGGATCTTTTACTGACATTGTCTGTGGCCACTGAATATAGAAACAGCCTGCGTCAAGCACCTGCCTAAATACATCCTAAAGAATCACAAAGAAATCAGTCTGGTCTGAACTTCCTCTGTGGAGCGAGAAGCATTTCAGTGCTTACTGGGAGTTCCACACACTCCCAAGGTCTTTACTGTGTTTGGGTTTAATATGGCCTTATTCTGCAGTCTTTCAGTCATCACACATTTGAGCAAGGCATAGCAGGATCCAAGACTCATTTCCTTTTAGGTCTGAACTGCACTTTCCAGTTATAATTCCTTTCTTGCAGGAGGCAGCATAAAATTCCTTACTGACAGATAGGAATACTTTCCTTGAGAAATCACCATCGAACTCGAGCCCGGTGTTGTCACCCAGCTCTCTTTTGCCAATGGTAGCGCTTTCTCCCTTCCATGTCACTAATTGCATTATAGATGTAGACTTTGGAGTTGCATTCACTTGAATGCTCAGTGGTTTAGGAATTCAAAGCCCATCAGATGCTGTGATGAGAATGAGGCACAGGGCAATGCCTTCCCTTTGTTCCCCTGTTCCGCAAAACTTGCTCAGGTTTTTAAGAAGAAAACAAACAAAAAAAGCCACCAAAACAGCAGACTTTTGCCATGTCAAAGCCAGAATATTTTTTGTTCAAATCAAAAGAAAATTTTGTCTTGTGCAAATGAAGCATTATACGTTTTTTGTATTTGTAAATCTGTGGGGAAGCATTAAACAGTCATCTCTGTTACAAAGGAGTAAGTCATTGATAGAGGGAAGGAGCTCGCCTTCCTCATGTTTCATTGTAATGTTTGTTGTATATATTTGCACATTAAACTGTGTATCTTTTTTCTAATAAATTAATATAAAACGTAGCTGTGATCTTTAATTAATTTGAAACTCAAAGGTACTCATGGGAGAAACTACATATTTCATTTAATGCTTTTTCCATTATCTAAATCTTATTAGGCTGTGACTTGGTCACATAAACTATTTGGATGCACATTCAAACAAATTTGCCGGTGAATGTCATACACCTGCGTGTCAGGAAGAGTGTTTGCAGGTGACTTGAGAAACAAGGGTGAAGTTGTGACCTGGGCTTGTGTCGGCACCTCCTGGGGCAGGTGAAAGGAGGCAGTCCATGGAGCAGAGCTGAGCCAGCCTAGCTGCTACCCAGCAAGGTAGTTTGAGAAATGGTTTATTTGTTGCTTCAGGCAAGTGTCACTTTTGGAACTGCATGCTTTGTAATCCTGGCTGGCTACCCACTGTGGTGAATGGAGGGACCTGTAGTGCTTAGAGAGCTATTGATGGAAACTTGGCTGCCTGGCTCTAGAAGCACAGCCACGTGTAATTCAGATAAGCCTACGCCTGGGGGCTTGATACAAAGGAACTGCATGACATTTGTGTTCAGGCAGGGCAGGTCAGGTAAATAGAAGGTCAGATAAAGCCTGACTGTTGGTTCACGGGCTGCTCCCATGTCCTTTCTCCAGCAGAGAGTGCTCCCTAAGAAAGAGACCTCCCTGTCCTGCACCAGCTCCCAGACCCTCCAAGGTGAGCCAGAGCCACCACTGCCCCTGCCATGATGTCCCATTGTGTCCCCTCCGCAGAGGGGGTTGTCATGGGGTGTCCCAGAGCAGCCTCACAGGCAGGGACTGCCTGGCCCATGGAGCCAGCCCTCCCCAAAGAATGGATCTCTGTGAGTAAACAGTGCTGAAATGAAGCAATACAAAATTCAGGAAGCTCTCAGACTTCTCACGCCTCTGTGCAAAGTACTGTGGTGATTAGATACTAGCAGTAAGGGGGAAAACCTGATGACAAAATGTATGACTGCAAGCACTTGGTAGAGGTCAGCCCTTCTACTCACATCTGCCATTCCAAACCATGTAAAACAGTTCCCTGAAGCAAAAAGCCACAGAGCAGCCACCCAGGTACCAAACTCAGGTCATCTTCATGGAGCACAAAACACAAACCCCTCCAAAAGAACAATTCCCCATTGCCCCTGTGCTTTTTGCCTCTTTAACTCTTTTGCTTAATAGTGCAATCACTTTGGTCTGGTTAGATGGGGCTGGATGGAGCAACCTGGTCTAGTGGAAGGTGTCCCTGCCCTTGGCAGGGGGTTGGAACTGGATGAGCTTTAAGGTTTCTTCCAACCCCAACCAGTCTGGAATTCAGTGGTTCTATGCATACAGCACTACCTTAAAATGGACATTTCTGTGTAATCGCTTCCACACTGGGAACCATATCAACACAAGGGTACAGGTCTTGGGCCACAGCGGTGATACCTCATTTCTCACCATCAGATCTCCAAGAACTTTGGCTAAGGGAGAAGGGACTTGGACTTTATTTCTGATTTTCACATGTGCTTTGGGGACAGCGACTCCCAGTGCTGGTGGCATCAGCAGAGACAGAACCTGGGTCTGTGGAGTCCCAGTCTTGCCCTTCCATCAGCAGCTAATGCAGCCGCACGCTGTGCTTTGACAGCTCTTAAGATCTGCACTTCCCCATCAAACAGCATTGAAAGCTCCTCTCCCAGTTTAGAGTAGAGAGTGCAGAGAGGCTTTGCTGTACTGGTTATACATATTTATAGGAGCTCACTGGGTGTCAGCAGCACCACATGCAGTGCTTCAACACAAAGGATGCATCTGGCAGAGGCTCAGCCCCTTCCCACCTGGGAGATGATCCCGGTCCCTGTTGTAATGCAGGAGTGAGCAGGGAGTGACCCAGCCTTTCATTCGTTGCTCTGTTTTGTTCTGCTTTGATATTTGTTTTTCCTTTCACATCTGATTTTAGCATAAACTCTTTGTTATACAGCCCCATGTCCTGCTCTGACAGCTCGGGGATGTCAGCACTGGCAAATTCATTACCATGTAAGAGCCTGAAAAGCCCTGGCTCTGCTGGTGTGCTCTCAATGAGGGCCTTAAAGCTTAACGCAGTTTGGGGGTGTTCTCCTTGCATGTGTTTGTGGTGGTGGTGGTTGAAGTTTGTTTTGCTCCTTCATTCAAAGATGCTTTGCCTGGGGGCTCAGCTGCTTGGAATCGCCTCTGATGATGCTGCTATCTATGGACTCCTGGTTTTGCTTCTGCCGCTGTAATTGCTTAGCTTCCTTCCCCACATGAGAGCACAGAGCTCTGGGAAGGCACAGAGCATTTTGTAGAGCTACAGGATGATGGAAAAGGCAGAACATCAAGTGCAGGCAGCGCTGGCAGGTGTCTGCCAGCCCTGGAGGAGCTGCCAGAAGGCAAACACAGCTTTTGCCTTTAGGTTGCCAGATCAAAGTTCAGGAAGAGCTTTCAGTGTGACCTTTTGTACAGCCTGACAGAGATACATGTACAGCTCTACAGAGATAGATGGGGTTGAGCAATAATGGGATTCAAAACATCTCTGAGGCCTCAGGAACCCTTTGGGTTTGTATTAATGCAGCTTTGGGGTAGCTGCCAGGCAAAGGGAGCCAAGGTTTTAAATGGGAGTCCTGGTGGGGTTTGGGTGCCTGCACCCCTGGGACATCCAGCCGAGATCCACTTCCACAGCTGGGGGTGCTCAGAGGCCCCGAGCACAATTGAAGTGCCTCAGGACATGCCCAGACAGGGGCTGTGTTATCCCGCTGTGGCTGCACCCTGGTGCAGACACAGCCCCAGGACAGACAGAGGGCTGCAGGGACAGACGGACCCCCTCGACCTCCTTCCACTGCTGCTTCAACTCCAGCCTCTTGGGATCCCAGAAACCCAGACTGGCAGGGACTGAGGGATTTGCCTTTGTCCATAGGAGCTCGTAGCCCTCCGACATTCACATCTAGGGTATGTCCATTCAGGCTGGGAACTGTTTGGCCAAGCCTGACATACTGATGTGGCAAATGGAGCTCCCCAGAACAGGAGAGGGCTTCCCAGCAGAAAAGGTGTCTGGCCTTTGGTGTGTGTTTGTCCATGGAGATGAGGCAGTCATCAGGGCAGGAGGCAGGCTGGTTACAAGGGGTTTGTGCAAAAAAGGAAGATTCGTCATTTCTTCAGTTTGAGTTCCTCTGCAGTTAGTCAGAAATCATCCGGAAAAGCCACTGAAGGAAATCCGTCCTCTTCTGCCTGGTCAGCACAACAATGTGCACACGCAGATGGCGAGGAGGGCAGGGCTCTTTCCAGGCAGAGGTGCAGCAGAGACAGCTTGAGAGCAAACCTGCATGACATGTAAAGTAAAATGACAGGGAGACAAAATAGAGATGGATTTCCCCAGTCAGCACATCCAGAACCTGCCTTGTGCACAAAATGAGTATTTGGAATAACTCCAGAAATATCAGTACATTTCCCCCCATGTTTATGTAGAGCACGAGCATTTTTCATTATCTATACACCTCTTCAGACTTTACTTTTCTCTAAGCAGCTCTGACTGTTCAATGACAGACAAAGTTCATCAAACACCTTTATTTCTACTGCAGACTTGCGCATTTCCCTCTGCTCCTCTCACCAGTGTATCATGGGGAGGCAAACCTGCAGCCTCAGGAGGAGGCACACAAAAATCACACTAAGCTCTAAGCCTTGCCTACAGTTATTTTGCATCCCTGGGGTCTGCTTTCTTGATATCACTCACCCAATTGTGAATGCAGGTCAGAACAGACTGAAAAGTCAGATTTCCCTGATAACTCTGACACTTGCACCAGAGGCAAGCAGGGTCCTCTGCCTGGAAAACGTTGCTGCAAAGGCGTCCCAGTGCTGCATAGCGGCAGTCAGTGTGAGATGGGAGCAGTTACTCCAACCCAGGACTGAGCACCCTGTTTGTCAAACCACGCTCTGGCACTTCTCAAGGCAGTGCTCGCTTCCCTCTGCACCAGCCATTGCAGTACAAAGGGCCAAGGGTAGGGCAGGAGGGGAGAAACACAGCGTGAAAAGCTGCTAGGCCCAGGGTGAGATGGTGCTGGGCAAAAGCGAGCCTGACCCTGCTGTGTCCAACGTCTCACTGCTGCTCCCACAGGAACATTATAGCCCAGGACCCTCCAGCACATTCAGTCACACTTTCACAGGGGGCTGGCAGAAGCTTTAGGATATGCAGGAGGTGGCCAAACACATCTGTAGCTGAGTGGGTGGGAGCCCAGGGGAATACAGCTTCCACATTCCAAAACATTGCCGTTTATTTTGCCTTGGGAAGCATGCAAATAATTGTCCTTCAAAAGGTCTGGAGCCTCTCCTTATCTGCTGCTCACACCATGTGTGGTGCTGCAGCTATCACCCCAAAAAGGAAGGGGGAAAAAAGGGAAATTGGTTTGGAGACAGAACAGACCCCATAAAGATCTTGATTTGTCACAGGACCTACTTTGTGCTGAGATTGCTGGTTTGTTAATAACCAGCCTCAGGAAATACCCCAAGGCAAAGCCAGAGGGGAGAGCCAGTGACAGGACCTGTGAGTCTCAGGTAACCTCAAAACAAATCTCTGCTGCTGTCAAGGCAAAGAGGAACCACCACTGCTGCCTCCTTAAAGGCTGATCTTCCATCTCGACTTGTGAAAGCTCTCAGGGGGAAGTGGTCAGCCTCTGCCTGTTGTTTGGAGTCATTTTCATGGAAGTCTCCAAACAGATGTTGTGCCGCAGTGCTGAAGAGGGCATTCCTTTTTAGAAAACTAAACACAAAGCTGTTGCCACAGACCACGTTTTGTCGAGGATGGGGCTGAAAGTGGATGGAGTTCAGCTGTATTCCTCTCGCTCCTCCTGCTCACTTTCACGGCAGAGGGAAAAAAGACCAGCGATAACTCATGCAGCCTAGTGCAAAGCAGAGGGAAATCCTGGACGTAGACCTTCCAGTACAAGCAATCCACCTGGGTTTCTCTGCACAAAAGGGTGGTTTTCATCAGCTCATTGGTAATGAAATCAGTCCAAGGGCTGTTTTGGCTAGTGCTA